AGCGCAGAGGCAGACAACGGCAACCCAAAAGCTGCCAGCGTCAAGGGGAAATTGGAGAAGAAAAAAAAAGTGTTCGATCCGAAATTCATAAAAGGCAAGTCTTCGTTCTACTCATCCTCATTGATTTCGTGTTCGATTCACTCTTAGAATGACTATAGGGAATTAATATTAGATTGGGTTTATTTTATTCATGCCAAGGATAGATAATAACAGTGAAGATATCATATATATAAATGTATATATATGAGTATAGTTGTGTCTATTTTATAAACCAGATTTGTTGTGGGCTGTTGAGACATTCTGGACATAGTTACAATCCTTAGGACCTTGGGCTATGGAGGAGAAAGTGAGTTACAATGCCTAAATGTTAAGGAGGGATGCAAGGATTGAGTCGGCTCGGCTCACTTATGAAAGGAAGATTGCCGACTCAGGTGTTATGGGTTCCATTCCTTTGAGTTTTGAATAGCCAGGGGTATATTAAATTGTTGGCCCTATTTATTTTTATTTAATTGCATGGACTGTATAATGTACAAATGTAGTAAAGGTGATTATCTTGATGGGATATAATGAAATTTAAATCCTACTTTAGTTGTAAATTGTTTATAAGTTGATTCTTATTATTTTAGTATTATTATTATTATTTATTTTATTTGACCTAATAATTATTATGGATGATAATATGAAGTAATATGGATTTACTTGGGTTGTATGTTACTTATTTGACTCCTATATATGTCTATATTGTTGTAGCAAATTCGGTAGACCATAATAAGTATATTGATTTGCTTGGATAGCTTAAATTACTCTACTTGTGTGGTAAGCTATTAGCATGATAATTATAAATGTTTGAACCATCATATAAAATGCTATAGATGAGTATATGAAATATTCATGCATACGATTGTAGTTAAGACTTTAATTGTGTTGCAGTTTACTCATCTAATTCTCATACCAGCTTATATTGGTATATCAACTACTATGGATAATAGTATGATATTAATCACGCATGTGACCGCATGTGTATATGGGTTTACATATACTTGGATATACGTTTTATTGGAGGATCATTGTCAGGATATGGTCTTAGAAGCACCATTGTTAGGATATTGCTTGTTGATACCTCTGTGAGCTGGCTAATACGCCTAGACTATACGTTCTGTCATACTATTGTCAGGATATAGTTATGACTTTAAATTGTGCTATTGTCAGGATATGGCTACAGTTACTTACATAAATATATTTTTATTGGGTACCATGATATGAGCTTGAGATCTCATGATCGATGGTTAGGATTGGCGTATATTGCCAGATGAGATGGGTAGTTGGATCTAGGGATGTGTGTGCCCTGCTAGAGGAGGTACTCGTGACCACCTTATGTGTGCTTGTATGAGACCTACTATCTGGTTGAGACTGTTTTATGGTCCAGTGAGAGTCTATAGTGTGTATATTTATGTATATTGACCTACATAGCTATTGCATAAGTCGAACTAGGATGGATTATTATCGGGTCTTTGTTTGGGATGTAGTAGAAAAGGCTTGTTCGTGGGTTTTAACCCACCTTTGTTGTTATCTTTTCAGGTCTTCATCAGTTCTAGGCGTAGAGTCAGTTCATACAGAATAGAGGCCGGTCTTCTTCACTCTTCCGGTGTCCTCAACGTACGACTCTACATTATGTTTTATTTATTTATGAGATTGATATTATTTATTTCATTTACTAGTTTGGGATTTTTATTAGGCGTCCACATGGTATGGATTCCCAAGTTGTTCTCTGGAGATTTATTTTTATAAGGAGAATTTATTAGAGATTACGGTATTTGAGGTTTGGTTATTTAATTATTAATTTAGATTTTTCTTTCAGCGATATTTATTTATTATTCTTTTTGTATTCTGTGCTTGTTTATTATTGATTGGTTAATATCCCCTGACTTTGTGCGCGAACCTGATTAACCCGTGTTTCGAAATTAGGGGGTATCACGGTTGGTATCAGAGCACTCCAGGTTTCAAGTGTCTCTAGGGTTTCGTTCATTATAAGACTTCCGCGTAGCGTATTCTTTTGTTTAGAGCCTAAGTATTAGGGTTCATTGTATTCTTTTGCAGTCCGTTAAACTGTGTACTGATTTCCATCTTATTTTGTTAACAGAATGGTTAACATTAGAAGAAGATGGGACAATTAGAGGAACAGGCAGAGAAGGAGAGCGGCACGTAGGCAGCAGGATTTCCTACAACGTCAACAAATTGAGGAAGAGCAACAACTGCCTAGGTTTCAGGAGGAGGTTGGTCAATTGCACATCGAGCAGGAGGAAGTACAACAGACTCATGAGTCTCAGGATCAGGGCTACAATCAAGTCAGGGATCCAGAGTATCCTCCTCAGATAAATGACCTCATTGCCCGGGCTATAAAAGCAGGTGTTGTAGCTGCGCTTCAGAATCATCCACAGGTTCAGTAGACACCTATACTGGCACTAGTGGTTCAGACAGATCCTTGGGAGAAGGCTAGAAGTTCTTTCACAAATGGGAGCCCACTTGAGTTCTTAGGCTCCACCGATGCGAAAGTAGCTCACCAGTGGAAGAAAGACGTCGAGCGACATCTTCGTATGGTTCAATGCATGGAGGTTCAGAAGCAGATGTTTGCCACCTTCAAGCTTGTCAAAGATGCACTCCAGTGTTGGGAGTCAGTTACTTCTGCAGATGAGAGGACTTCATTGACCTATGATTAGTTCAGTGCTCGCTTCGATAAGAAGTACTTTCCATATGTGACCAAAACAGCTATGAAGAAGGAGTTCCTTAACTTAGAACAGGCGAACATGACAGTAGCAGAGTATGAGCAGCAGTTTACACGCTTATCTCTATTTGCTCCAGAGGAGGTGGATACAGAGACGAAGAAATATACTAGCTTTGTTAAGGGGTTGACCTGGTTTATTAAGCGAGTCATTACAGGAAGTCCAGCTTACACTACTTATGCTCAGGTGGTGGATGCCGCTTTATAGCTTTATCAGCTGAATGTGGACTTCAGACAGACTAGGGTGAGAAGTGGGGTAACAGAGACTTTGTCAATCAACTAGCTGAGAAAGGAAATGGTAAAGGGCATCGACAAAATAATAAGGGCAGATTCCAGGGATAGCAGCCTTGGAAGAAGCACAAGAATGATTTAGATATTCAAAGAGATGGGGCACCTATTCAGAGGCAGCATAATGGGGCACTACAGACAGTACATGGTCAACTTTAAGGTAACCAGTAGAAAAAAATTTTGGCATTTTCAGAGGTTTTTGTTATGGTTGTGGAGAGCTTGGGCAAATAGCCAAGTGGTGTCCCAAGGCTATGCAGGGACATCATGTGCAGCAGGGGCAGCGACCACCATTTCCCTTACCTGCTCCACAGGTGTCGCGTATTCAGGGATAGACGTTCCCGGCTTTACCAGCGCCACCGCCACCATGGGGATAAGCAACACAGCAGTTGCATTATGGCATGGTGTATAACCATATGCCACAGGATGTTCAGACTCCTTAGGCTATTAAGGGAATGTTTCCTATACACGGTAGATATGGACGTGTTTTGTTTAATATGGGTGTTACACATTCATTTGTGTATAGTACATTTGTTACCTTATCTAGGACGACTACACAGTTATGTAATCAACCCCGTATCATTGGTACACCTATAGGTGTTACTTTTATTTTGCATAAGAGTGATGGGCATGCAATACTAGATATTGGTAGACTTAGATTTCTAGCCAACCTATTGGTTATCTCACTACCATAGTTGTTAAAGGCACCGAAGGCGCGCGCCTGAGGCGCCAGGCGCCACCCTGGCGCCTTGAAAGGCTTAGGGCGAGGGCCTTGTATTAGACGCGCGCGCTTTTGGGACTTAGGCGCAGGGCTACAGGTGTGCCTGTTTGAATTTTTTATTTATTTATTTATTTATTTTGGTTGTGACTTGTGTGGGACAGTCAACACTCAACAGTGAGTCGTATATTCAGTCTGTAAATTTGTAATTATCACTTGCAAGTTACAAAGCCAAAAAAAAAAAAAAAAAAAAAAAGATCAAAAAGCAAAAAGCAAAAAGCAAAAGGAGAGAAGAGAGAGAGAAGTATGAAGTGTCGAAGCTGGATTCGCCGGAACTGGAAGGGAATCTCGGATCTGCCGTCTCCATCTGCGAAGCCCAGATCTGCGAAGCACCGGTAAGTTCTCCTTGCTTCTTCTTCTTTTCTCTCCTTGCTTTTTCTTCTCTTCTCAGTTTTTTTTTTTTTTTTTAGTTCTTCTCTTCTCTTGGCTCTCCAGAGTCCAGCATCTCCTCAACTCTAGTCTATTCTCTTGAGTCTTGCTTTTATTTTTTTATTATTTTTTTTTTCTTTGAGCCGAGTGTCGGATAGTCGGACTCTCGGCTCTTCTTTATTATTTTATTTCCCCCCCTCTATTCTTCTTCTCTCGACTCTCACTCTCAGCCTCTAGTCTGATCTTATTATTTTTATTTATTTATTTATTTTTTTTCTATTCTTCTTCTTCTCGGATTTTTTTTTTTTTTTTTCACAGCAAAAATATATAAAAAGAAAAACCTTTTTTTATAACAAGAAGTGAGTGTGCTTCTCTAATTTCTGATCTTATTTGTGGCTCTTTTTTTTTTTTTTTTTTTTTTTTCCCCTATTCTTCTTCTCTCGGCTCTGAGCCTCTCTCTGATAGTGTGATCTTATTTTTTTAAATATTTTTTTTTTCAATTCTTCTTCTTCTCGGCTCTCTCTGACAGACTAACCTCTTATTTTTTTAATTTTTTTTTTTCTATTCTTCTTCTTGGCTCTCTCTGCTTCTGCTCTTCAGCCTCTTCTTTTATTTTTATTTTTTATTTTTTTATAATTGATGCTGCTGGAATAAATTGTAGTTTACAAACTTTACAATTCTATGCTGCTGGAATAAATTGTAGTTTACAACTTTACAATTCTGTGCTGCTGAAATGTTAATATTGGCACAAGATGCCCATCTAGTGTTAGAGAAGAAATCAAAGAGTACATGAGTAAGAAAAAGGAAGAAAAAGAGCAAATGAATTTGTTACCTAGTGATGAAATTAATTTCATTGATGGAGAGGATGAGGATGATGCTATGGAAGTTAACAATCGGGGAAAAAGGGTAGCTAGTGTAGGTAGTGGCAGTGCTAGTGTCAATTCCTCAAAGATGCAAAAGCAAAAGGGACCGATTGATTTATATTTCACTCCCAGACCGGAAATTGTGGTACAAAAAAGAAAGGAGGGGGGAAAACAGACAACCATTAATGATGCATGCAAAAAAGAGTTGAGAGGAAGAGCGTGTGCTGCTTTTGCAAGGTGGATGTATGATGCAGGAATTGCATTCAATGCTGTTAAGTATGATAGCTTTGCTGAGGTTGTTGAAGCAATTGGACAATATGGTCCTAGCATGAAACCACCTAGTTATCATGAGGTGAGAGTTTCTTTGCTTAGGAAGGAATTGGATAATACCAATGCTTTGATGAATGACCATAGAGAGGAGTGGTCAAAATTTGGATGCTCATTAATGGCAGATGGGTGGACAGACAAGAGAGGGAGAACATTGCTTAATTTCCTAGTAAATAGTCCAAGGAGAACCATGTTTATTGAATCGATAGATACTTCTTCTTTTTTGAAGGATGGTGCAAAGATGTTTGACTTACTTAATAAATTTGTGAACCGCATTGGAGTAGCAAATGTCATCCAAGTCGTCACAGATAGTGAATCAAGCAATAAGTATGCCGGTAAGAATGTTCAATGTTTATAACTTTTAGAGTTTACATTCTTTAAAAATATATAATTTAAATCTTTTTTGATTTACTCATTCTCTTTATATCATTTTTTTCTTTTTTCCGTTTGGTTTCAAATAGGGAAGATGTTAGAGAAAGAACACCCACATTTGTATTGGACACCATGTGCTGCTCATTGCTTAGACTTGATGTTGGAAGATATTGGGAAAATACCGTCCATCTCTAGAACAATGCAGAGGCCAGTGGAGTTGAATAGTTATATTTATATGCGCCCAAAGTTGTTGAACATTATGAGGAACTTTACTCATAAAAAGGAGTTGCTTAGGCCCGCTAAGACTCGATTTGCTATATGTTTTATCACATTATCAAGTATTCACAAGCAAAAGAATAACTTGAGAAAGATGTTTACTTCAGAAGAATGGAATCGTAGTAAATAGGCGAAAGAGGAAGCCGGTAAAAGAGTTGCTTCTTATGTTTTGATGCCTTCCTTTTGGAACAACATTGTCTTTAGCCTTAAGGTTTCCGGTCCTCTTATTCCAGTTTTGAGATTAGTTGATGGCGAGAAAAAGCCTCCCATGGGATACATTTATGCGGCTATGGATAGGGCTAAAGAAGCCATTGCAAAATCATTTGGGGGAGTAGAAGATAAATACTCAAATATTTTTGAAATAATTGATAAGAGGTGGAATGTTCAACTTCATTGCCCTTTGCATGCAGCAGGTTATTATTTGAACCCAGAATACTTTTATTCAAATCCAAAAATTGAAGAAGATGAAGAGATTGCAAAGGGTTTGTATGCATGCATTGTAAGGTTAGTCCCGGATGACAAAGACCAAGACAAAATTATTGAGGAGCTGTCCTTATATTCTAAAGTTGAGGGCCTCTTTGGTAATCGCTTTGCTATTAGACAGAGAAGTACACGAGCACCAGGTAAAGTGGTAAAGTATATTAAGTTAGTATAGCTAAGTGTTAAAATGATGAAGCTAAATTTGCTAAACATCATTATTAATTTTTTTTAATAGCTAATTGGTGGGAAGCTTATGGCAAGTCAATAAAACTTCTCCAAAAGTTTGCTATAAAGGTTTTAAGCCTTATTTGCAGTTCTTCTGGTTGTGAACGAAATTGGAGCGTGTTTGAGCATGTAAGTATATACTATTTACTAACTAGGTTTGTAATTTAATTGTTGAAAATTAAAATTTTAATTTTTTATACTTACTAGTTAAAGTTGAATTTATTGCAGCTTCATAACAAGAAAAGAAATAGGCTCGCTCAAACAACTTTGAATGATTTAGTGTTCATCAAATATAATAGAGCATTGAGGCGTCGATATAATATGCGTGACACTCTTGATCCCATTTTACTCGATGACATTGATGAGAGCAACGAGTGGTTGACGGGGAGGATGGATGATTTTGATGCAGAACATGATCTAGTCTATGAAGATGATTCCCTGACATGGGGTGATGTTGCTAATTTTGCTGGTATTGGAGAGGTTAGCAGGCCGCAACGGTCTACTTGATCAAAATCTAGTTCTAGTTCACGATTACCGACAAAGGGAGCAGGAAGTTCTTCAGTTCAACTTGTAGATGAGGATGATGATGAGGATGATTCAGATGAGATAGAAGAGGATCCTGAGAATTATGAATCATTTAGTGACGATCAAAATGATGTTATGCTTATTGATGACGAGGATGATATTTAGATTCGTTGGTGTTGTCTTCTTAGGAAGAAATGGTGTTTATGTTTGTTTTAGTTTTATCTTATATTTCTTCTTAGTTGACTTTTGTATCTTTATGTTAATATGTTTCATTATTCACTGAATCACTGTTGAACTCAAGTACTTGATTTACTTGGTTTTGGCATCTTTATGTTGAATATTTAACTTAAGTAATTCATTTAGTTGACTTTTACATCTTTATATATACTATTGCATCTTTAATACTTTATTGGGTGGGTTTTGTCTTTTTTTTTTTTCCAACGCGTGCCTCGCTTTAATCGGGCGCGCACCTCAGGCTCCAGGAGGCATTTGCGCTTTTGTGCGCCTTGAGCCTTTAACAACTATGCTCACTACTATGCTCAGGTTAATTGTCACGATAAGTCTATTATGTTTGCTATACTGGGTCAGGATATGTATATAACTGCTATGCCACATTCTAATGGGGGAATTGAGCACTCATTTATTGTATATTGAGGAAGAGTCTGAGGAAGAGATTACTATAGCACTGGATAGTTTACCAAATGTACAGGAATTTTCAGATGTATTTTAAGAGATTCTAGGGTTGTCACCAAGTCGAGAGATAAACTTCGTAATTGATCTAGCTCCAGGCACTACTCCTATTGCTAGGGCACTATACAGGATGGCACCGATGGAAATGCAGGAGCTGAAGGATCATATTCAGTCACTTCTCAGCCAAGGTTTCATTCGTAGAAGTACTTTACCTTGGGGAGCACCAGTGTTGTTTGTGAAGAAGAAGTATGGCTTACTTCACCTGTGTGTAGATTATAGGGAGTTGAATAAGGTTATTATTCGTAACAAGTATCCTTTGCCCAGGATCGACGACTTATTTGATTAGTTAAAAGGAGCTACTTACTTCTCCAAGATTGATTTGCAATATGGCTATCATCAACTTCGAGTTAGGGAGCATGATGTTCCTAAGATAGCATTTCTCAGTAGATATGGATCTTATGAATTCGGGTCATGCCTTTTGGGTTGACTAATGCACCATCTGTCTTTATGGACTTGATAAATAAGGTTTTCAGGGCTTATTTAGATCAGTTCGTCATTGTTTTCATCGATGATATTCTGGTTTATTCTAAGTCTGAGGAAGACCATGCTAGACATCTTCACATAGTGGTGTAGACACTTCGTGAGCATCAGTTGTATGCCAAGTTTGAAAAGTGTGACTTTTGGCAACAAGAAATGAAGTTTCTGGGTCATGTGGTGTCAGAGAAGGGAATAGCGGTGAATCTAGCCACGGTCTCAGCTGTTTTAGAGTGGGGACAGCCTGCCTCACCCACTGAGATTCGTAACTTTCTGGGATTATGAGGATATTATCACAGATTCATCTAAGGGGTTTACAAAGATAGTAAGACCACTCACCCATCGAACTAAGAAGGGGGTATTGTTTGTGTGGGATGAGCATTGTCAGACTGCATTTGACACATTGAAGAGTAAGTTGACTTCTACACCTGTTCTAGCTATTCCCCAGAGCGGGATATAGTATCTTGTCTACGCAGATGCTTCTTTGTAGGGTCTGGGATGTGTTTTAATGCAGGATGAGCGACTGGTTTCTTATGGGTCTCGTATGCTTAAGCCTGAGCTTAATTATCCGACACACGATCTAGAGTTAACAGCTGTGGTCTTTGCCTTACGTATTTGGAGGCATTATCTGTTGGGGGAGTCTTTTAGACTATTTAGTGACCACAAAAGTTTGTAATATCTCTTCACGCAGAAGAAGCTGAATTTGAGACAACGTAGGTGGTTGGAGTTTGTGAAAGATTACCACTTCTCTATATAGTACCATCTAGGGAAAGCAAATGTAGTGGCAGATACACTCACTCGTCGACCCTATGCTGGTCTTTCGGCGATGTTTGCTATAGAATAGAATGCTTTGAAGATTGTAGATGAGTTGTTTGATGCTTTTGTGGCGTGCATAGTAATTACACTTGCTATCATCCACAAAATACTAAAGGCACAACTTATGGACCAGCAGTGCATCGATAGAGTTATGGAGTTAGCTTCTGGTGATGTCCCATTCTACTCTATTAGGGTAGATGGAGGCTTGAGGTACAAAAGATGCCTAGTAGTACCTTCTGTTGATGATTTGAGAAAAGATGTTATGACGGAGGTTAACAAATCTGAGTTCTCTACCCACCCAGGTGGAGATAAGATGTATCACAATATGAAGCGACAGTTTTGGTGGGCAGGTATGAAGAAAGACATAGCCATCTTTGTCTCCAAATGTAGTACCTGTCAGATGGTCAAGATTGATCATTAGAGACCGCCTAGTTCCTTGCAGCCACTTCCTGTACCGGAGTGAAAATAGGAGAGTATCTCTATGGATTTTGTTAAAGGATTACCCAATTCCAACAGGAACCACAATTCTATTCATTATTGATAGGTTGACCAAATCAGCTCATTTCTTGCCTATTCGCACTGATTTCACTTTAGAACAATTGGCGAGGCTTCACATTGCAGAGATTGTGAAGCTACATAGCATACCGATGTCTATTATATCAGACAGGGATCCGAGCGTTGTATCGGGATTTTGGGGGAGTTTCCAGCAGGCTTTAGGTACCGAACTACATCTTAGCACTGGTTATCATCCTCATACTGATGGATAGACCGAGAGGGTCAATCAGATCATGGAGGATATACTTTGTTCCGATGTCCTTGATTTTAAGGGCAATTGGGAATATTATTTGCTATTGGCAAAGTTTGCCTACAATAATAGTTTTCAGAAGACTATTGGTATGGCATCGTTTGAGGCATTGTATAGTCGACCATATCGATCTCCTGTTTGTTGGTTAGAGGTTGGTGTGAGCAAATTTCTGAGTCTTGAATTTATCAAGGATACCTCTAAGAAGATTGCTTTTATTCGTGACCGTATGCGCACTACCCAGAGTAGACAAAAGAGTTATGCGAATTTTTATACTCGCAGTTTAGAGTTTCAGGTAGGGGATTAGGTGTTACTTAAAGTATCTCCCATGAAGGGAGTAATGTGCTTTGGGAAGAAAGGGAAGCTATCACCACGTTTTGTCGGTCCTTTTATGATTACGGATCGAGTTGGAGCTGTAGCTTATTGGTTAGCGCTTCCGAAACATTTACATCGGGTCTATAATGTCTTCCATGTGTTAATGTTACGGAAATTTCTACGAGATAAGGATCGCTATCAGCATATAGATGTTGGCGAGATCGAGTTGCAGCCGAATGCGACATATGTTGAGCCACCATGTCGTATTCTTAATCGCCGTGATTAGATGCTTTGCAACATGACTATTCTTCTTGTGCGAGTTTAGTGGAGCCATCATAATGACGCCAAGTCCACTTGGGAACGGGAAGATGTTATTCGTTCAAAATGAGCCAGCATGTTTAGTTACGTGATGGTACACAAAGTATGTGCACAGGTTAGGTAGATTTTGTTTTTTTGTTAATTTGTAAAGTTTTTTTTTTTTTTTTTTAGTTCAATGATTGGTGGGTTTTGCTAGGATGGATCTGACTGTATATAGCTTAGTATAGTTATAGTTAGGTTATATTGTATACTTATTGATTTAGGATTTGTGGGAGCAACTGTTACGAATTAGAGAAAAAAAAAAAAAAAAAAAAAACACAGAAAGGGGCGGCGTGAACCAGAGAGAAAGGAGAGGAAGAAAGAGAGAGAGAGGAAGAGAGAAAAAAAAGGAGGAGGAGAAGGGATGAGACCGGCTATTGTGGGTGATATTCAGAGCGCAGAGGCATACTACGGCAACCCAAAAGTTGCATGTGTCAAGGGGAAATTGGAGAAGGAAAAAAAAGTGTTCGATTCGAAATTCATAAAAGGCAAGTCTTCGTTCTACTCATCCACATTGATTTTGTGCTCGACTCACTCTTAGAATGACTTTAGGGCATTAATTTTAGATATGGTTTATTTAATTCATGCCAAGGATAGATAATAACAGTGAAGATATCATATATATAAATGTATATATATGAGTATAGTTGTGTCTATTTTATAAACCAGAATTGTTGTGGGTTGTTGAGATATTCTGGACATAGTTACAATCCTTAGGACCTTGGGCTATAGAGGAGAAAGTGAGTTATAGTGCCTAAATGTTAAGGAGGGATGCAAGGACTGAGTCGGCTCGGCTCACTTATGAAAGGAAAATGCCGACTCAGGTGTTATGGGTTTTGTTGCTTTGAGTTTTGAATAGCCAGGGGTATATTAAATTGTTGGGCCTATTTATTTTTATTTAATTGCATGGACTGTATAATGTACAAATGTAGTAAAGGTGATTATCTTGTTGGGATATGATGAAATTGAAATCATACTTTAGTTGTAAGTTGTTTATCAGTTGATTCTTATTATTTTATTATTATTATTATTATTTATTTTATTTGACCTAGTAATTATTAAGGATGATAATATGAAGTAATATGGATTTACTTGAGTTGTATGTTAGTTGTAGCAAATTCGGTAAACCATAATAAGTATATTGATTTGCTTGGATAGCTTAAATTACTCTACTTGTGTGGTAAGCTATTTGCATGATAATTATAAATGTTTGAACCATCATATAAAATGCTATAGATGAGTATATGAAAATATTTATGCATACGATTATAGTTAAGACTTTAATTTTGTTGCAGTTTTCTCATCTAATTCTTATACCAACTTATATTGCTATATCAACTACTACGGATAATGGTATGATATTAATCATGTATGTGACTGCATGTGTATATGGGTTTGCATATGCTTGAATATACGTTTTATTGGAGGACCATTGTCATGATATGGTCTTAGAAGCACCATTGTTAGGATATGGCTTGCTGATACCTCTATGAGCTGGCTAATACGACAAGACTCATACGTTTTGCCATACTATTGTCAGGATATAGTTATGACTTTAGATTGTGCCATTGTCAGGATATAGTTACAGTTACTTACATAAATATATTTTTATTGGGTACCATGATACGAGCTTGAGATCTCTTGATCGATGGTTAGGATTGGCGTATATTGCCAGATGAGATGGGTAACTGGATCAAGGGATGTGTGTGCCCTGGTCAAAGAGGAACTCGTGACTACCTTGTGTGCGCTTGTATGAGACCTATTATCCGTTTCCAGTGAGAGTATATAACGTGTATACTTATGTATATTGACCTACTTAGCTATTGCATGAGTTGGACTA